TACCCTGAATGTTTATTTTTTAAGCATGTTAAGATTAAGATTTCCTGTTTTGTGTTCTGATTCAAATGATGAATCAATTTTATTGAATCAGTTCTGTTGCACATAATATTTGTGAGAATGCTTGCTTTATCATAATTATAGAAAATTTTATTTCTAAATTAGGCATACATTAGATTATTTACTTTTTCTAAAATTCATTCTGAAGTAAGGCAAACTTCTAAACCCCTTTTAATTTTCTTGACATATCTTGAAGGTACTTGGACACAGATTTGAAGTCAATATTTTCTCTATAATATTACGACTTATATATTTTAATAGCATTTCACATAAAAATTAATTAAAAATCTTATTTCATTTAAAAGTTATTAAAACTTCAAATTTTTTGGCGGGTTTGATTGACACATCCTTGCACTTTCACAAATTTTAGCCTTATTCTTAATCCTTAGGAAAAGTGGCAATCTTGTTGTGTATTAATGAGAAATATGAAAACTTTTATCCAGAAAAATAATTTTATACAGAGTAGAAATTTAGAAAGCAACACTCCTTCACAAGTATCGTCATTCCGAACTAAGAGTTGCGTACAGAGTCTAGCAAATCGAGCATACTCGTGTTATATACACAGTTTTTGTGAACAGGACACGAGTTCTGTTATTGCTTATGTTTACAATTCACCGGGTGCGTTCAATCGTCACAGTCTGCTTACAACAACTGCACGGACTGACAATATATTGTATTTATTTTGCTTTCGAACATGTCTACTCTGAATTTTCTGGATTATAGTATTAATATTTTTTATTTATACAAAACGAGATTGCCACTTTTCCTTAAGATAAAGGCCATTTTTATTTTATTAGTTTTTTTACGTTTTTTTTTTTTGTAAAATGTCCATTGGGTGGCTAAAAAAAAAAAAAAAAAAAAAAAAAAGAAGAAGAAGTTTTCAATGTTCAAAAATTTAAAATGCAGCATATCAAAGCAGTTGGGGAAATCAACCTCAGAACATTGCACAGAAATGTCTTTCTTGGCATTCCTCACTAAAAGAGAATGATTCTCCGAGCAGAGAGACATATTATGTGAACAATGCTAAACTTTCTGTGTATGTCTATGACTGGATACGGGTGTCCTCTCACTGCTACGTCCACATTGCCACAGAAAAACACACTTCAGCAAATTTTACACAACCCCCTGTAAAATAATAAAAGTTTAATCAAATTCAGATAATACCTTTTCTTAAACAGTATTAAACAGTATAAAACTAAAATTCAGTGGACAATTAATGGACACAAATAAACTTACCAGAATGATAAGTCATCCCCATAGGGTTTCACATTCCTATGACTCTCATACAAACATTTTTTGTCTAGAACATCCTGATGAGTCTGTTCCTTTTCCAAATCTAAAATTTAAACTTTAAGAAACATTTCTTTCACATCATTTGATAGATTCATACCTGCACAATGATAAAAAAATCTTTTATTTCTCTGACGTTTTAACAATTGACAACACGTCTTGTAGATTTTTAAAATACAGTCAAACATGCTCTTTTAAAAATGTCATAAATAATATATGAACTGTTAACTAACCATTAGATATAACTGTTTAAAAATTCGCCAAACCCTCAAAGAAAAGTTATGGGTGTCGGATGGAGCGCAAGTGATGACATCAGATTCGTTGGTTTTGGCTGTAATTTCCTCAACCACCACACTCCATTCGCTGATCAGATAACATCATAATAGAATAATCACCAGCCTGATCAGCTCATAAAAACCGTCATACATTTACTACTGTCCTTAAAACATTTATATTCTGTTTTGAAAAACCTAAAATGTTTCACATGACATGGCCGTCATACTTATTTCATCTCTGACTACAAAACGCTTGCAGAGTTTTTTTTAAAGGGTCAATAGTGGAAGCGTTTACATGATTCTGATCACAACTAAGTAAAATTCAAACAATGTACGGTCATTTCCGGATTTTTTAAATATGATTGAAGTAAAGTTCGATCGGCCATTATAAAAAAAGGATTGAATGGAATTTTTATTATTTTTCCAAAACTTAGAAAAATAGGTGGAGGATACGTAAAACAACCAATAAAAAAATTTTGGCCTAAGAATAAAATTAATTTGTGAAAGTGCAAGGATGTGTCAATCAAACCAACCAAAAGATTTTAAATTTTAATATCTTTTATATGAAATAAGATTTTTAATTAATTTTTATGTGAAATGCTATTAAAATATATAAGCCGTAATATTATAGAGAAAATAATAACTTCAAATCTGTGTCCAAGTACCTTTAAATGGGAAATACAGATTGATATTTGTTTTTATGTTTTTCATTTTTTAGAACTTGCATGAACATAAGCAGTTAGCTCTTCTATCCTGTATTGTTGTGCTATATTAATAATTAATATCTAATACCAGAACTCGGTCTCTTTTATGCCTAAGTGCAAATCCATTCAAATTGAATACATTATTGTTCAGTTCATATTTTAAGTAAATATCTGAGGAAGAAGATATAGTAATCTACTTCCTACATTTATGGTTTATTTTTTTATCCTTAAAAGATGGTAATTATGGATGTAGGTTTAAACTGATTAAAATTGGCATCTTGAAAAGAAACTCTTTTAAAATGTCTTATCTTAAATCAGGTGATCATGTACATTTCACCCATGGTTAAGTAAAGCTGAGAAATAAGGAAGACTTTGGCAGCATGTTAAAATGTCTATGATCTGTGTTAACTTTCTTCCTCTCATCTTTAAAAGTTTATTTAAAAAAAAAAGTGAAATTGAAAAATAAGCATACAAGTTCCTGTATAAACATTTAATACAAAGATTTCCTGTAACATTTCATAGCCCTGAAATGAAATGTACCTTGCACTGTCAACAGTATCTGATAGACAAGTTGTTGACCTTTGATTTTAATTAAATTGATTTATCATGTTTATTTCCAGGAGTGTATTTTGAGTGGTATGATGTCAGTGAGTGGTAAAAAAGTACTGCATATAGACAGGAACAAGTATTACGGAGGAGATATCGCATCTATTACTCCGCTGGAAGACGTAAGTCATCATATAAACATGATAAAATATCACCCCGCTGGAAGATGTAAGTCATCAAGTAAACATGATAAAATATCACCCCGCTGGAAGATGTAAGTCATCAAGTAAACATGATAAAATATCACCCCGCTGGAAGACGTAAGTCATCATATAAACATGATAAAATATCACCCCGCTGGAAGACGTAAATCATCATATAATTTAAACATGATAAAATAGAAAGACAAATCCATGAAACCTGGGGCCTGTTTTACAAAAGATCTTCTTTCGACTAAGACCAAAATCTTCACTTAATCGTAAAATTTAGAAAAAAATAATGATCCAGTTTGAAATTGCCAGAATAAAAAGTATCTTTCTACATATTTTTTAAAAAAGATGAAAAACATTTTCTATTTATTGTAATTAATAAAGTTATAAGCAGAATTAAATTTTGGTATTTGTCGTAAGTTCTTTAATTTGTAAAACGGATCCCTATCTGCTTTGAAATTGTTGGTTTTTCATTTCCATTTCATGCCTGTTTTATAGATGTTCCAAATGTATGGAATGAAGATGCCTGAAGACCGGTTTGGAAGAGGCAGAGACTTGGAACGTGGACCTGATTCCAAAGTTCCTCATGGCTAATGGTTTGTTATCTAGGTTACCTCTAATTCTTTTTTCTATTATTCAATAAATGTACATCCGAATATGTAATGCTAAGCATACTAAAATTGGTCAGAATTGCTTGACGTACATTTTAGCATGTTGAGTGTGAATTTAAGAATTTGCATTTATGGTCATATTAAATGTAAACTTTAATTTATAAGTTGAAAAACAGAGAAGTTATTTTACAATTCTAATTTCAATCGCCAACAAAAAACACAACAAGCATGATGTTTTTTTTTTTACTCTGAATTTTTTTCTGTGTTGGAACTCAATTCTAAGGATTCTTTCCATGAATTCTAATGAAGGAAAAAAATTAGATCTTATAAAAAAAACTGTAGTATAGATATTAACATGGGAACTATGTCTTTTATTTCAGGTCAGCTGGTGAAGTTGCTGATTTACACTGGTGTAACCCGTTACCTAGAGTTCAAGTGTTTGGAGGGCAGTTACGTCTGCAAGGGAGGCAAGGTGTATAAAATGCCTGCCGACGAGAAGGAAGCCCTCACTACAAGTAGGTTTTTACGTAACATTATACATCTATATGGACAAAACTGATGACTGAACACTGGCTGTTTAAAAATTTGAACAGTCTTACATAAAATTTTCCATTATGATCTCAGTTAAAAGGAACACATATGGTAGATGGTCCTTTTAGATCAGTATCTATGACCAGAAGCAAATTTTAGATACTAATGGAAGAAGTATTCATTAATTCATATTTCATCTAATTTGAGAAATAGATTTGACCTGAATATTTAAATAAAAAAAAAAAAGAATCTGATAGTTTTCAAAGAAATACCGGGTATATGCCCGTCTAAGACTAAGGTATTGTATTATACACCACATAAATGTAGTTCTGTCATTGAGTGGAAATCATCTGATGTATTACAAACAATAAGATGCAGAAAGTCATTGCCTAATTTCAAGTTCAATGATTATATTAACTAGGGCTAATTGTAACGGGAACCGTTACAGATGTTCCCCAAACGCTCCCCAACTCCCTTTTGGTGCCATGCTCCCTTTAACCTTCATTAAAAACGACAAACTCTATGCATTTTACACTTTAACAACGTTTCCCTGAAGTATACCGAGTATATTCAAATTTTAGCATTTGCACGCGTGCACATGTAGATGCATGTGCGTAATGACCATATTCTCTTGTCTACACTATCTATATACATTAATATAATAAAATAATAAAGCATTTAATCCAAAAGTATTAAAAAATACGCTTCATCAAGTGTATTTTTGATTTTTCCCATTTCACGTGCATGCACGTGTATGCATGTGCATGATGACCTTACCTTTTTGTAGGAATCCACTATGTCTATCTATGTTCTAAATCCCATCCTGTTTGGTTGAAAATCAAAGGAGTTATACCCATTTAAAGTTTAAGCCAATCAGATTGCAGCGCACGTGCATGCCGGGGTTTTCA